CCGCTCCGCTGCCTCCGCCCCGGGCCGCAGGGCCACCCTTGCCTGGGGCAAACACTTGGCTACCCGCCAGGGCGCCGAGAAAAGTTTTTTTTTTCCTCCCGGGGCCCCTCCCCCACGCCCTGCCCTGCGTCCGACTGGGGTGGGTTTGGGTCCTTTGGGGAAAAAAGTCGCAGGTTCCCATCAGCTTCTCCTCCCCCTGGGGACCCGGTGTGTAGGGAGGCGTCTGGAGGCAGCCCCTTCGCCGGCACAAAAGCGGTGCGTCCTGGGGCTCCAGCGCAGCCGGGTGCCGGCCGAAGGCTGCCCCCATCAGTGCGTGTCTGCGTGCCTGGCAGAGGCAGCATCCAACCTGCTTTATTTCTTCCTGCAGCGCCACAGCGAGCGAGCAAGCGAGTGAGAAGGGGGAGAGAGGGAGTCTGTCTGCAAAGTGCTGCTCCCTGGTGCTCAGAGGCGGCTGCTCCAGCTCCAGCTCCAACTCTCATTCATTTTGCCGGTTAACATGAGAGATCATGGCCGCCTTCGGGCTTCTCAGCTATGAGCAGAGACCGCTGAAACGCCCCCGGCTCGGGCCGCCGGACGTCTACCCGCAGGACCCCAAGCAGAAGGAGGTAAGGGCGCCGGCGGAGGGCCTTGCATGGCATTGCTGGGCGCTTCATCGGGTTCTTCTTCGCCATAATCCTCCAGTTCGCTCTCCCCCGCTTCTACATGCTTAATTTTTCTTCCCGCCGCTTCGGTAAATCTTCGTAAACTTTTTGGAAAATGTTGGAATGGGGTGCATCCGATACAGGTCTTGTGTTTTGCGCCAGCTGAGCAGGGACCAAGCGAATGCCTCTGTGTGTCTGTGTGTGGAGGGGGGCTTTTCTGCTCAAAATTTCCAGTTTAGAATGAAGTCTTTTTTATCGAGGTGATAAGTATTTAGTTCTTTGAACCTACTTCTTTCTATATCTCTCTCCCCTTTAAAGGTCAATATTACCGGAAACACTGATTTCGTCCGCAGAAGCTATTGGCTTAATTGCTGGAGCCTGTTTTGTATATGTAAAAGCAGTCAGGTTACCTTGGAAGGGAATAGGTCCCGAAATTAATTGGAGAAACCTTGACTGGTGCACTGGTTACACTGCTAGAGTAACCATGGCTTTTCGTAACCATGTATTGTCTGTCAGTAGTTAACAAGTAATTATGTAACAACTCTCCAGTTATAATGATCAACATTGGCTACACAATTTGCTCAGGGATTTGCTTTTTTTTTTTTTTTTTTTTAAGATTACCTGCTACCCAGCTGTGCTTTCTGAGTTTGTCAGTTGCAGCCCACCCATCCTCTATTTTCTTCAGCTAAACAAGAAGAGAGCGCATTTCAGAACTTCTTTCTGGAATCTAAAGACCCTATTTTAAAAGCTTACAGGCCCACTGACATCACAGAAAGGGCTCTGTAAAGAAGGCTTCCCTTAAGGCTTCCCTTTTGATAAATGTATCTAGTTCAATAATAGAGAAAAAATGTTCTGGTCCAACTGTTAATAATGTTTCTGAAAAATAAGGAGTGACAACTTTTAGAGGTTTAGCACACTAAATATGTTTGAGCATCTGTGGAGTAATTCAAATTGAACTGGAAAAGTTTTACAGGTAGTTTTCATATGAGGCTTAATATAAGTTTGAGATTTTTAAAGATTTCTTCCCCATTTATTCTCCTTGACTCAGAATAAACTTGATTGTTAAGGACTGGAAACAACACATGAAGGACCAAATGTAATGAAAATTAATAATTTAAAAATTAGCGGCAGGAAATTTTTTGTTGTTGTTAATCCTCATCGCAGGTATTACTCCTCTGATTTTCAGAGAGAGTGGAGGGAGGGGGAGAAACAGAGAGAAACATCAATGTGAGAGAGACACATCTATTGATTGCCTTCTGCAAGTGCCCTGAACGTGGCCCTTGACCAGGAATCGAACCCAAGACCCTTAGTTGCTTGGGCTAACGCTCTATCCACTAAGCCAAACTGGCTAGGGCAGTGGCAGGAAATTTTTAGAGTTTTGTTTGGGACAGGTACATTGATTGGCTGATCTTTGTCATCCTGTAATTCATGTCTTGCTACATCTTTCTAGAGGGCAGCATAATTGATAGCATTCTCAGTTGAGGTATGGTGCCCTGGGATGCCATTCATTAGAGAGTGTGTTGTACTCCACAGGACTTTATCATATATTGTGTTGTTAATACTTTGCTCTCTGGAAACATAGACTGACCATTTATTTCTCAGATCGACACTCATTTAGGATTGGGGCCTCTATGATTCTGGAAAAAATAATTTGGGATTTTAGGATCTTGCAACAGTTTATGGAATTCTAAAACTGGAAGTGACCTTACAGTCTACTTTTGTGGTAACTTTCTTTTGACAAAGTGAAACTGAAGCCCAGAAAAGGGGACTGGACTTAATCAAGGTGTGTGGTAGATAAGCAGAGGAGTTGGACCACCAAACCAGTATTTATGTCAACCAACACTGTGTTAAGGATGATTTGTGCTAAATTGTTGTACTGATGTTGTGCCCTTCCCCTCAAAGCAGCCACATTTCATCTCTCTGGAGCAGAGTCAGAGTTATGTGTGACTATAGTCAAATTTGAGTACAGTATGGAACAAATAGGTGCTTGGCTGTTCTTGGGTGGTGGTGTGGTGGTCTGGTGAGCAGTGTTTTCTACAAGCTTCAGTGATTTATGTATTGTCTCAGAATTTATACCCTATCTCTGTATCGCCTGTTCTTTTATCCTAATATTTCCTTTAAATTATCTTTTAAGAAACTTTTTTGTTTCATGTATACACATAAAATGTAAAATTTATTTCATGTCTATAATTTTAATTTTTTATTTACTTAATATTACATATGCACACATGACTATAAGGATTTAAACAAGACGATAATATTAGAACTTAAAAGTTTGCCCTGACCAGTGCATTCAGTGGTTAGAGCACCACAGCGTGTGCACCAAAGGGTCGCTGGTTCGATTCCTGATCTAGGGCATGTGCCTGGGTTCAATCCCCACCCCAGATTGGGGCATGTTCAGGTGGCAGCCAATGGATGTGTTTCTCACATGATGTTTCTCTCTTTTCTCCCTCTCCCTCCTCATTTCTCTTCTCCCCACCCCCCCCCCCCCCCGCCCCTCTAAAAATCAATGGAAAAAATATCTGCTGGTGAGGATTAAGAATAACAACAAAAAGGCCGCCTTTCTGTGTCCTGTCTTGTGGGAAATGCTGATTAATGGAGGAAGTGTGGACTTCCCATTTGTACAGACCTGGACATGAATTCTGGTTCAGCCTCTGCAGTTGTGTGGTCTTGGGCAAGGTGCATAACTTCTCATTTGTAAATTAGTATAATGGTGCTTTTCAGAGAAATTCAGGAACATGGTGCTAAATTAGCATTACATTTGTGTGAGAAAACCTCTCCTGGTAAAAAGTATTCTTATTACTGTAGCTGTGAGTTTTAATTGTGTAAGTTTGACTATCATTGTTTTAGTTTATGTCTTAACTGTAGAGAACTTGTAGACCACTCTTCCTTATTCTGACCTGCTCCCCACTCTTTGATGTGTTAGAATCTTTAGACAAAGACACTGTTCCAAGTGTTGGTACCTTTTGGTGCAAAATAGTGCAAATGAGTTTAGCTACTTTCCCCTGGAAGTTTTGTGGTTCCCAGCATAGTCTTGTTTTCTGTCAGCTGTGCATGGTTTATAGCAGAGTAGTATTCTATTCCTCAGTCTTTAAATATCCACAGCTCCCTCCTGCAGGCACTTGGCTAAACTGGGGCCCTGGGGAGCAGTTCTTGTTTTGTCCCATGAGGCTATTCTTTGAACTTGTCTGGGCTGCAGAGATTTTTGACTCTGGGTGTGGGTCTTAACTGGGCACTTTGGGGACTCATGCAAAGCTGTTAATTTGGGGTGCAGCCACTATCCTTCAGTCTTTCGGTATTTCACTTGGGCTGGTGCCTGTGGAGATATAGTGCCAGGAAGTGAGGTCTGAAAGTTGCTGGGTTGGCTGGGTACTAAGTAGGGCAAGATGAGGGTGAACACAGTCTTAGGATTTTAGTTAAACCAGTTAGCAGGGCCTCCCATGGGGTGTGTGCACCTAGACATGAGGGCAAAGCAGACATGGAAGAATGGAGCTAGTAGAAGTTGGAAATTCCAAGAATTGTGATGTATTTAATGAGCTCTGAACCCTACTTCTGAGGCTTCTTGTCAGGAGAGACAAGAATTGGAGAAGTTGGAGGGACCCATGAGAAGAGTGGCATGATGAAGAGTTCTCTTCAGTAGTGTTCTCCCAGCAGCACTACAAGGAGCTGGCTGACTCAGCTTGAAGTCTGAGGGGAAAGCCAGAGGGAGAGGCCTGCCTCCTACACGTTCCTCCCTGAGAAGGGAAGTGGAAACACTGACTTTTAAATGTCTGTAGATAATTTCTGAAGCTGGGTGATGGCCACAGCAGAGCTCATTATACCAACCTTCAACCTATGTCTCTATGTTTTGGGAAATTAACATAATAAAGAAAATGTCTTTATATTGCAAAATAGCATGACTTCTTAAAAAATATAGGGTGGGGGCAAACGTATGTTTACAGTTGTTTGCATGGAAAATAATAAAATAATTAGTAAATGATAGTTCAAGAATAAACTCTGTGTTTCACGTACTCAAAGCTGTAAACCTACTTTTGTCCCACCCTGTGTGTCTAATATTCTGAAAAGATTATCACCCACATTCAAACAGTTGTTATCTCTTGAGGATGAGATTAAGGGTGATTTTTCTTTTTTTGTACTAATCTGTATTCTAAGCTGTAACAATAACCATGTACTACCACTGTCATAGAAGAATATACCTTATAGAATAATTATTAGGTAACTTTGACTGAGTTTACAGGAATTGGTCTTTGTTATTGTTTCTTAACGAAACTAGAGCCCTTTAGCTGATAGGTAGGCTGAGGGGTATGATAGGATGTAGATACAGACACTTATACACCTGATGCTGCAAACTGTGGTAGGGTTGGGGTGGGGGCTCTTATGTGAGCACTTCAGCTCTGCCACATTTGCTGTGTGATTTGGGGTGCTGTGTCTTTTCTCTCACCTATGAGCTGGGAGAATACCACCGAATCATCTCGAGTGTTTTAAATATGAAGGAGCATTGTAAACTTAAATTATTACCAAGTGCAAGGTATACATTCAGTGGTGTGCTTGTACCTGCTGAGCATAAAAATTTCAGGAATTTTGTGAGCTGGTTAATACTATGTTGGTAGTTTGAAATCTAGCACAATGGGAATATTCACACCAAAGATATTGGCAAATGCTACAAATTAGAGTTTTGTTTTATTTTTTGTTTTGCTTTTCCCCCCTCTCCACCCTCACCCCCTTCCAAAAAAAAAATGGTTTTGAAGCATTTGCCAGCACACCACAAGGTCTACTTTTATGTTGCAGAAACTTGGCTGGTGCTTCACCATCATTCTTATCCCTTATCTACTTCCTATAAAAAAGTTTTTTAAGAAAAGCCAGATCTCACTTTCCTAGCCTTTCTTGAATTTTGGAGTGAGCAAATGACTTAATTCTGGTTAGAGACATTTAATGGTAATTTACTGCTGGACTTCTGTAGAAGA